GAAGTTGGATAACTGAAATAGCTACTGATTTTGCTTTTGAAAGAGGTTTTGTGTTCGATGCCAATTTCACATTCTCAACCTTAAACAATCTGATTCTGTCTGGCTTTTCCAGTTTCCTTTAAGATACAATTTAGCACTTCTGTGCTTCATTTGCAAGGTGCCCTATATAATAACATCTTAATGGCTCCTTACATGGCTGAGACAGAGGCTTTTAGTCTTAGAGTGGAGTAAACTGCATGCCTTTCTGTGCCTTTAATAACATAACCAAGAAAGAACCTAATTTAGGAACCAATTAGCAATTTCTGCCGCATGCTAGATTAGCATACCTTTCCGGTTGAGAATAACCTTCCAGGACCCCACTAAAGCTCAGGTTTTGAAAGTGTCAATAAGCTATTAAAAATTCACCAGTTTGCAGAATGTTTGCCCCAACACATGGATTTGTGCAATGAATACTTTTTTCCAGCACAATGGCCAAATTCTTCAATTACGACAAAAACTGGTTTTGGGAGTCGTAGCGGCAGTCTAATAACTTGCAGTCACTGCACTCGGAGGTGTTGTTGATGTTTCCAGTGACCCACAAAACCAACAGCTGGGTTGAACCAGATCTGATGGAGGGACCCACTGGATACGTTAACATACAGTTAAACAGCACCTGGAATGTATTAGGGGCTCTTGTTATTTAAGAAAATTGGTCTGTGGGTCAGATAAGGTAAGCATTGTAATTTATGAGAAACCAGTTCAGAAAACAGAAACATGACGCTACAGAAAATTAACATTCAACCTGAAAAGTGTCAGTGAATATACCCTTTCACCCTGCTCTGTTGTCGGCATTAGTGTATCTGTAGCTTAAGTTAAATAACATTGTACAATCTAGCAATAGAATGAAATGTTCAGGGAGAAAAGCTATAATAACCTACTGTTCTTTTTTTCTTTTACAACATATAAACTCATTTGAATTTTTTGAATACACGGCAAAAAGGAAATAGAGATTTACAGTGATAAACGATTCCTAATTTGTCTCTGTTCATGACCCTGGGTTATCATATTTTTCACATGACACAATTTCCAAATAAGGCAATGCCGGACCTGAGGACAAAAGTGACTAATTTGTAACAATTTTCAGCAAGGAATGTTTTAATACGGAGGACAGGGCTTAGACTCAAATGTTATATTAGCATATCCCTGTCTGTGCTGACTTTTTAAAAGGGAAAGCTTTGAACAGGTTCGAAATTAATGTTTCCCATCCCAGAAAAAAAAAAGATCAAAACAAGCTCCTTCACCTGAACCAAAATGACCTCTGACAAACACAAAGGCTTGCCAGTTACTGAGAGTGAGAACCTGCCGAAAAGTACCTCATCTCAAGCTTTATGAAATGAATCATGCTTTAATAAGCAGATGTCTTTCTCCATAAGCCAGCAAAGCTTTCCTCACTAACCTCTGATGCAAGTGTGTCAATTCGGGTTTGTTCAGCTACAGTTTCCAGATGCTGACGTCAGTTTAAAGTTCCAGGTGTGTTTCAGTTAGATCGCTGAAGCTGTTCTTGGCTTCTCCTAGTAACAAACACAGGTCTGGCTGCAGTTAAAGAAGTTCATGAAGATAGTTTTATGTCTGCCCCCTAGCTAAAGCATCCAATTTAACGATTGTCATACGTGATATGATATTCTGGATGTAGATGTAGTTATTAACACTGGTAAGGGAAAAAACAGCAAAATCTTGAAACTCGGACAAAAATGTGAAATGAATTCGTTCTATCCTGTTAGGAAATAAAAACTGATGACTGACAAATGTTTTCCTTCCTGTTTATCCATAAAGATGTGGTAAAACTAAAGATTATATACTTAGTTTCCAAAATAACAAAACCACTTGTATAACAGCAGGACTTATTCATAGCACATTTATCAACTATAATGCACACACTATGAATAGCTAATTTAGTTTATAAAACATCATAAAACATAACCTGCCATGTAAAATGACAGTTACATCTTCTTCTGTAACTTATTACCAGTTCTGTATCATCTGTATGAGCTCAAGTATTTATGGTAATAAACGGGATACAGTATATCTGTTATCAGTCAGCTGCTGGTAATCGTATTTGAGTTTCATTAAAAATAGTTCACAGCAAAAACCTCAAAACATTAAATGTAAAGCATATGTCTGAGAACAATTACAAATAATTTTGTGCCAAAAGCAATGTATTCAAATTACTTACAGACCACAGTTTTTGGGTTTAGTGCATCAGAACCAGGAACGAAGAGAAAATTAAGCTAACAGTTTACATGTGTTCTTTCACAAAATCTGGTCCTGCATTGCTTTCTGTTTAAAAACAGCATTTTCCCCAATACTCAAAATCAATTGTTCTGTAAAGCATTAATTGCTCACTCCATAAATATACACCAGAAAGCAAGCATAATTCAGAAGAAGTCTAGGATTTTTTTCTCTCTCCTATCTTAAAATCATTGATGGCCTTTCTTATCTCCAAGCACTTCATCCATTTCCTCAGATGTGACCCTAATCCTCCAGTGTGTATCGACTAATTAGGAGTCATGTTAAATTTGTGAAAAATAACAATTCTGATAATCTGAGAACATCCGCACTGTGAAAAGTTGTTTTTATTCATTAAGTACTTTAAACAACTTCTGTTAAGTAAGAAGAAAAAAACATCTAGAGGATAATTTAGATTGCTTCAAGCTTTTGTGCAAAACAGTGTTTACTCTGAAGCAGATGTTATCCCCTTTTAATATCAAACCCCATCCTGACCAAGTAAGGCTTTGATATTGTACAGAAGTACCACTTGAAGCTAGAACTACAGAAAACAACTGATCATGACAAACATCTTATGAAAGGAGCACTGTGAAACATCCATCCATTTTCTAAACACTTTAACCAATACTGGGACAAGGGGCCTATCCTGGCAGGCAAGGGGTACAAGGCAGGATAGACCCTGAATGGCACACCAGTCCATCGCAGGTTAAGCCGACGCAAACACAGACGTGGGTGGAGCCAATTTTTTCAGAAGCCGATTAAATCTACCCGTGTGTCTTTAAGCTGTGGGAGGAAACTGGAGCACCCAAAGAAAACCCAAGAGAAAGTGGGGACACATGCAAACATACAACTCCATTTTGAGCTACTGTGACACTATTCAGTAACAATGATAAAAGGCACCCAGGGTGTGCTACTCTGTAGGAGACAAGCTAAAAAGGCAAGTGCTTGTTTTTCTTTGGAAGCACACAGAAGACATCACTTGATCACTGATCGTCTGGATTACAAAAAATGTTACTCATTGAGCTAATGTTTCTTATCTAAAATATAGAAAATCTTCTTGGCCAGGTATTGATTTATTAAGCTGGGTTTTCTGGACTACAGCAAGTGAAGTCATTTTGCCTTGCTGACCCGGCACTCAGAACTCAATTCCCCTGGCTTACAGGTTTGTCTGTGAAGTATGCTTCTTTCACTGAAACAGTGAATCAATAGAAACTTTATGTTTCGCCTACAGGGAACATAAACGAGTCACACAGGCAGACAGTGACTCACATGTCACCAGGCTTCTAAATTGCAAGACTGCCAGACCCTGATTCTGCTTACTTTTAGGTGTGAAGTGGAAGGTTAATTAATTATCCATTAACTTGTCAAAGATCCTAGTGAAAACAGCTGTTCTTAACAGTTACACTTTAACAGGTTTAAAAATGTACTTCAGCAGCCAGCCTGTATCAAGATCCTCCTGAGCAAGCAGGAAATCTCCATGTACTGTAATTCCAAACAAAAAACTGTCAACTGTCACTTATTTCATATTATCATTCCAATTATTGTATTATACTCTCATACTGAGAAATCTTTCAGCTTTACTGAAAGCATGGAAAGCAATTCCAGCACATTTATAAAGAAACTTTTAGAAATATTTACTGAAATAGGCTCTGGCTCCACAGCGACCCTGAATTCCATTAAACAGATACAAAAGAGATGGAAAGATTGTGTATTTTTAAGTTTTCTTTCGACAACCACACTAACTGCTGCAAATAATAAAGTGTGATTGTTTTGTGCAAAACATCTCAACAATGTAACAATAAGTAAATGTAAAACTAATCGCATTCTAAAAAGATAACATTACTCTGCGTTAAGACTACTAATAATTTAGGGTAGAAGTCCTATATTATAACATCCTTTAGCTCCCTCTAGTGGTTCACATGAAGACTGCAAGAAAAACGTTTTTTTTTCTAGTTACGCTGATGAATTTAACATCGTAAATCACTATTACAAGCCTGTGGCTTGTTAACCGTTTAAAAGCAAACAGAAGGCGTGGAAATTGCGGTGCTCAAATTGGTTCAAAACGTACAAGGTAAATCCTTGACTTTAAAGCCAATTTCATAACAGACCAGTTAGAGGAACTGAACCGCTTCAGGCCCAAAGACAAAAAACTGTGAGCAGACCCGATTCAAGCATAGTTATAGGGCACGATAACTACTTCCTCCAATTTGACGAAACTTCTGTTGATCGGATTTTTCTTGTTCTCCACAATAAGCTTGCCTTGTCTTTATTCTTATGTACTGAAGTTTGGTGCATCCTGATTCTGCAACTGATCACCTTTGTTATTGAATTGCAAAAGTAAAACCTGTTGGATTCTGTATTATCTAGCTAGTGTCAGAGAATCAATGGTTCCAGTGTTTTACACACAGACCAGCATTCATGTGACAATTTCAGAACAAATTCAGTTTTGCAGTTTTAATCTTGTTACTTTTTTGGTTTTGTGGTTTTTACATTTCTGTCCCAAGTCTGGCTGGGACCCTGTGTAGCACATTCGGGAGTTGGTCTCAGACTGAGAACAGTGTTGAGCCTCCTTGTGCTCTGATCCAACTGGATAAAATACACCCAGATATAGAAGAAATGCTAGATTCTATATACTAAACTACACAACAAGCAAAATGACTTAAACACCTCCTTAAGGAGATAAATGCTGCAGGGTTCTTCAAACACACTCGTTTTGTAATAAAACTGAAAGCTTATGACATTTCATATTTTTATTTTTCTTACAAATGTTAAACTCTTAATTGTACAAAAAACTCCAAAGAAAAAATAACATTGCATGTAGATTAAGGAACAATTACACAACAAAAAAAATAAAATTAGAATTGCAGGTCTAAACTGCAGCAGCCAAATAATTTTGATGAAAACTAGGTGTTCATGATGTGGGAACAATTTTGAAACAAAAACTCTCCCATTCTACATGCTTTATGCGTCTTCCCACAATGCAGTTACTTTGGGACCCAAGTCTGTGCTGAAGCTTTGGCACATACAGAACTAACTATGTACCTCACAATCCTTCCTCCTGCATTATCAATAAAAAAAATACAAGGGCCATTTACACAATGCACTTGTACTGTAAAAAAAACAGGAATTTATCATTGGAAACAGTAGCTAGGAGAAGGTAGTCGAAACATTTGCTCCATTACTTTGTGAACATTTTTCACACTATAGCTTCTGACAATGCCTGTGAATCCAAGACACGGTATGCCTTCGCTGTACGTCCACTATAACATGCGACTGGTCTGGAACCCTTCAATAGTCCTGTCAAAGAGCAAGAGAAATAAAGAATAAGCTGGATAGCTTTCCAATTACCAAAGATCAGCTGGTAAATGTACTAACAGCTCACAAATGTAATGAGAATTCAACCTGGATGTTTTTTTTTAACATAACTACAAAATGTGATGCATCTTATCCTGCAAGGAAAGAAAGATCACTTTTAGCTGAATATTTTTAATTTTACTTGGATAGGTTTCATGAAGTTTTGAACTACTGTGAAACAAGACTAATTGCAGCTAAGTTTTCACACTACATAGGTTTTAATTCTTCAAACTGAAGATAAAGCAAAAGGAAAACTGATAACTTACAGCTCTCGGTTTCTTATTCATCTTCAGATCAATTCTAGAATGAAAAGAAGTTTTAAATATTTTAATCTATGAAATAAAGCAGAGTATGGCTGGTCAGCACAAAAAAAATGAGCACCTCGCTCACCTTTTACGCATATCAACAAGGCTAACAATGAAAACCATGCGTTTGGGATGGACAGGTATAAAGTGTGTGAAGAAATGGCCTGATTCAAGACAGCTGGGATGAAGCCTGTTTCTTAAACACTGCACATTATGGAAACTCAGCAGTCAGCAGAAAAACAATCAAAGCTAATTTTCAAAATTATTTTTCCATGTTTGCTGCAGAACAATTTCACACCTCAAGGCATTTGTTACTCAGAGCATACCCACTAAAATGTAAACACTACGTTGAGATCTGTAGGAAGCATTCACTGGAAAATTCACCATGAGGTGCATGAATGCATGAGAGGTATACCCCATGGGATGGCCCTTTCCTGATCTCAGAATTTTATAGTAACTCTTGAAAATTGAGCTCCAGAACACAAAGCAAATGCCACAATATCTGAATGCTAAGAGGAAATGTTGTGCTTGGTGATTTATATTTTATGATATTGCACTCCCTACCCCCTTTAATGGAAATGATCTTTTCAACAATATATTGAGCAACAAAAGAAACTACTAGTAATTTCTACAAATTCACAATCTTTTTTGTAGCATATGCACTAAACAGACCTAGCACAGGTAAATTCATTAAGTGGGTTAACTTTTGTGATCAAATGATACTGCAAGACGATGTACTGTGAATATCACCAGCTAGAGGCATATTTGACCACTGTTGAAAGCAGCACAAGTTACATATCTGTGACTCATGCTTCCTACCATTCAGATGCATTCTCTTCTCTTGCATTACACTCTCAGTAGTCCCAATCATCTAGCAGAACCTGGATGAACATGCATCTTTTCACTGGTTTCTGAGCCCTAGATCCCACACATTTCTGCTCACCACATAAACGTTCAATGGAGTTCAAGTCTGACATTAGCTGGGTACCCTGTATAAGAGTGCAATTCACAAGAAAGTCATTATTACACTAGCAGCATGAGGATGTGTGAGGTCCCAGAACCTGATCACTGTAGTGCCATGCAGTCAGGCTGCAATCTGTCACTACCGGTATAACTCTGTAACAACAATCTTGTCTGGATCATCACACTAAGGCATCACCATCGCCTTTGACAATGTGTTTCGACCTGTGGTCTCCTCACGGTGACATATCATTGATAGGTAGCATTTGGCTCTAAATGTCTTAAGAGGTTAGAAGCTGTTTGCTGTGATCATCCAAAAAGGCAAATAACCACATGCTGATGGAGTGACTGTCCAGGTCCACACAAATCAGTGAAACAAAGGTAGTGATTTTCACCAGACTTGCCAGGCTTAAATCAATTAATCGCCTCTGTCATCAACTCTCACTAACGGGAAAATGTATTATACTTACAGAATTGTAAACTACCTGTTTATCAAGGTCATTGTTAAAACAATCACCAAAACAACTCTATCTGAAGTATGGATACTTTATTTTTCTAAAAATACAGAAGTAAAAAGTTTCTTTTGATGCTCAGTATACAATTGGCAATTATAACTTTCTCACCTTTCCTTAGTAGAGGGCTACTCAAAACAAAGGGCCCATCAATCATCTCCACAACAGGAATTCTAAACAACCAAAATATTAATTGCTGAATGAATCCTGCTGATTACTAATTAAGGAGCTGGTTCTAGTAAAGTTCTGTAATAGTTCAAGTAGACTTTCATTAGCAGTTAGCTGAATTTTTTTCAGAAGTGTGCAAGTGTCAGCACTGCATGAAAAGCTGCATCACACAAAGCATTTATATATTGCTGGCTTTCAACTATTTTTCTTTCAGAAGCAGACTAAAATAAATTCTCCCTTCACAATGTTTAAGAAAAAGGGTATGCTGTCTACAGTAATGTATGCACAATAACTTGAACAGTGGGATGGCTTCACAAAGACAAAAACTACACTACACAAGAACCACAGCACAAGGAGATTAAAATTCGAACTTACTCAAAGTCATAATCAAACATGCCAGACGGGCTGAAAGGCAGCATTAAGAAGGGAAAAAGCAGTATACAATTAATACACTATTAATTGTTTGGTTGACCTGGTAACGCTTCCGCAAGATTCATTTCTAGAGTTTCGGATAAGAGAAACAAAAGGTATTTAAGTTAAGGATCACTAGTAAGTCGTTAATTTATTTGTTAAATCATCTCCTCAACTGTATACTGTAACAACAATGTACATCTATGTATTTATCATATTCACTGGCCAAAATATTATGAACCCCTAGTTAAAGGAGTATGCACTTGGTCTCAGGACATGCATGGCTATACCCACTGGCCAGGGCAATGCCCAGATGTAAAAAGGGCTGGTGCATTATAATCCCACGCTTCAGTCTGACAATCCTGGCTGAAGGCAAAGCAGGTGAAGAATGGGATACCGGACAAGATCAGAACACATGCCATGTCTTGTTCAAGCAGATTTTAATGTTAGCAGGGTTCACACAGCAGAGTTGAATGCCTGGTGGATGGCATTGTTTGGGGGTTCCTAATACTTTGACCCATGTGCGTTTTTGTTCAGAACCTTTGCCAGTACTTATACGTCAAATTATTTCAGCAAGTAATTCAACATTCAACTAATCCTCTGACTGCTTACAGTAGGGGTGAAGGTCATGTCTTGCTGCAAATAATTTTAAGAACATATAAAATTTACATGAAAAAAAGACTTCGCAATTTTGGTTTTGAAGCATTCATAGAACACACTGAATACTACGTTTTCAAACGTAAAAAATAAATATGCTCAAATTATTGCCAAATGTCTGTGACAAAGTTAAAGTCTGCGCTTTCTAAACAATTAAATAATTCTGACAGAAAGTTTTAGCTCTTTCTCCACACTCTCCCTGCATGACCTTTGCGAAACCGGTCTCACTGTGCAAAAGCTCCATTACAATGATCACATTAACTGTAGCTTAAGTGAAACAAAAGTTTTAACACATCACAAGTGGATACCTGTGCCGGTTTTTGTTTTTCCTCTTCTTGTGGTTGCCATGGTGACTGCCAGAAGAGGACGAGGCAGCCTTCTGGGGCTTCATCCCCTGCAAGGGCCCATCCATATCCTCCGTGTCCTCCTGGCTGGGCTCGTTCTCCTGGTTCTGGAAATCCGGGGAATTGTCACTCTCCGTTCCACTGCCTGGCTCCCCTGATGGGAGAAAATTAAGGAAATCCTTACTGTGAAGCAGCAATGCACATCACCACACCACAGGGGCTCCCATGACATTTACAGGGCAAGACAAATTCCTCTGGAACCCGGAAAAGAGCTTCACAGAATTACTGCTGGCTGGTCTGACAGAAATCAAATAGGAACGATCTAGACTTATCTAACTTGTAGCTGTGCATTTTGTGTTAATGAAAATGACAAATATCCTTGATGTCTACTGAGTCGTGTTTACAGGTAGGAATGATGACTGTGAAGAGCACAAGGACAGAAATATAATGCCTACTTTTTTCTATAAGTTGGTCCTGTATTCCTCCTAGAGCACTAACCGCCTGGAAAAGAAACAGGGACAACAAACGTTAAAAGCATGAAATGTTAAGAACTCAAACAAATTCCATCACTTTATTTCACAAGAGGCTTAACATCTCGTCAATATATGAAGTATGTTCCATCTACGTTTAAAGAAACCTGACGAGTTTGCTAACTTCATATGAAATACAAGCGTTTAACTTACTGCGACGGATGTGACAGATGATTTGCTAAAGAGCCGCTCTGCTTCTTTGAACTTTCTGTTCCTTCTGTCATTTTTGCTGTTGGAATTTCTGCAACAGAGGTTAAAAGGTATTAAAAAAGTGACGCAAAGCCAAGCTTAGCACAAAATCGCTATCGGAAGAAAGACTTGAACCGATCTTACTTCTGGTTGGTTAGGTACCGATCCCATCCTCTTATGATGTTGCCATACATTTGAGTGTCTTCCAGGTAGCTGCCTTCAAACGCATAGATTTGTCTCTCCAGGTTCGCCAGCGTCTCCTGCAGGATCGGGGCGGGAAATGAGCGCCAGCTAATGTGCGTCTTACAATTCAACAGCAACCCTCCAGCGGGGCAATATAAGCTAAGGGCTACTGAAATCCACGCAATGTCGTTTTATTTGGGGTTGGGTGTAAGCAGAAGATAACATTCCTCGGGAGAAGGGTTTCCTCTCTCGTCTAGCGTGTTCGATTGTTAGCAGGCTGTTGATCCGACCTCATCCTGTCGTTTATTGAAAGAATCCAAGGTATCGGGTTTGACAACGCGACTAGAGAGCCATGCAATGTTGCATAATTCTAAAAAGATCTGGAATTTCTCATGTGACAAGATTCCTCGTCGTTCATTCGTCTGTGACATGATGCATTAGTCGCTATGAAGTGCTATTTCATTTATGCACCAAGGTAACTAGTTTACATTGAGGTAAATGCCGTGTTATACTTAAAATTGTCAGGATGATGCGATATCAAATGATGCCGACCTCATTACCACACACACCAAGCAAAGCTGCTATATCCGATGCTAACATCACCTTACTATGTATCGTAACAACTAAATTCCCAAATTGAATGCTTGAAGTCATCGTTTAATCTGCTGAAAGCCGTTAATTATTTCTTAAACAAGCCTACATCCAAAGCACAGAACCGAGACTTGAGTCCCCTTCCTTCACGCCAGGAACTAACATTAGCGGTGTAGAAAAGGCCTCTAAGCCTTACAATAAACGGATTTTCCTAAATCTGCTAACCGGAGTGCACGGCCTCTACACCCGGCACTTCTTTGGCACAAGACGGAGCTGCTATTCACTAAGGTCGGTTACGTACGTTCCTCAAACGAACGCAATACAAGTGCAGCAACATACGCCTGTAAACATGACGTTTTGCTTAGAACACTCTAGCAAAATTACACATTTACCCAGATCAATGGCGACTCGAAAAACGGTTTAAAAGACGGTAATGTAAAAAAAAGGATTTACCGCGAGCTCCTGTTTCCTCTTCACCAGCTCCGACAGCTCCCTGCGTGTATCTGGAATCTGCGGAGGAGTTACTTTGGTGTGCATCGCCATGTTGGATTTTCGGAGCGGATAGGAGAAACAAAGCGCGTAACGGCAGCAAAACGCCCGACACTACCTGTGCTGTGACGAATTAACCACAAGGGGGCGTTCCACCTGCGAACACGTGAGTATCTACGTCAGATCTGGCTGATGGTCACACCTTCGATTAAGAGAAAACCATTCATTATTCCTGCACCCGCAGATATTTACATTAAAAACTATCACTGAACGGTAGAATATTATCATTACAAACAGTTAACAAAATAAAATGACTAAAATGTTTTTTCATCTTTCCCTTTATTCATTTTCATCCTAATCGCATTGTTCTTAATTCTCAGCTGAAAGCGTGATTTCCTTTATGGTCTTTATTCACGTCAGGTTCTTTTCATGACTGCTTTGTATACTCTTTATACAGTATTTCATTTTGTCTGAAACTATTCATAGATTGTTCTTGCAGTTTAAAAATAGCCTAAAATTCATTTACATTTATTCTTCTTGAGAATACGTGATTGTTCCTTCTCCTTACCTAATGTAAATCTCATATGTAGTATCTCAATCTGGATGACTGCTAAGAAATAAATACATATACAATCAGACGTCAAGTCTCAATAGTTCTTCTCAATGTTGTATTTAAGACTCAATGTCACAGGTAAGTTTCACACTTGGGAAGAGCAGAAACTTTCACCTGTGAGTGCATTTATACTCTTTTTTTACTTATTCCTATAATGCTACATTGCTCAGTCAAAGACTACCCACCCAGTAAAAATACCTTTATCATGCTGGAATTCTGGAAATCTATGTTTCAAGTGTAAAGATACCAAGATTTTCTAATGGCAAATGCATTATTTATTAAATTTTTGCTTTTTAGGTAGTTTTGGCATATATTACGAAACTTGTTATTTGAGAATCGTAAAAAAAAAGTTTGGGAAGTAAGATAGGAATACACATAAAAGATAAAACAGTAAGATCAAAATGTTCGTGAGGGTTAAGTACCTTGAATTTTCTGTATACAGTAGATGTAAAAATTGGGTCAACACTTAATAGCTCTTGTAAACCAACCCCTAAACTGACCTGAAACGCATGCTTGTATCAAAACCATCCATTCCACAGATTGAAAATGTACCTAAAGAAGACACATTATTGAAGAATACAAGTCTCCAATGGCCTTTTTCAGTGGTTTGGTTTGGTTAAGACTCATATTTTTTGGTTTGGGAAACATTTTCAAATCTGATGACTGAAGGGCTTTAAGAACAAATTGCAGGATTGCTTTGTTGAAACCCCAGCTAGGGTTAGGGTTAGCATTCCCACACGTCTTAGACAGTGAAAATTTGCTCATTTAAGCACTTTTTTTTCAGAGACTTTGGGCTTCTTATATTGTATAATGGCCAGTTCTGTGGCCGTAGTCCAATAGTGGAGCAGGGTGCGGAGGAACACAGTTGGGAAGGAGCAGGCCTGTGCTAGTTGGGCCCTGATGCCATTTTTGACTGTCTGATTCAGTCGTTCACCCCACTGATTGCCGTTGGGTTGTATAAGGCCCTTACGAGTGTGTCGTATGTCCTGGTCAGCCAAACTCAGTGGACACAAATGGCGGCCCATTGTCGTTGGTGATGTTGGTTGGAAAACCAGAGTGGGCAGAGGGGGAATCCAGGAAGTCAATGACTGCCTGAGTGGTGACCGATCTAGTGGAGGCCACTTCCAGTCATTTCAAGAGCAAATTAGAAACCATGATGAAGAAACTGTGATGGGGAAAGACACCATGCAGCTCCCCACAGATGTCCAGCTGGAGAAGATCCCAGGGCTCGGATGGCCAGTCTGGGGGCTGGAGAGGATGTGGTGCGGGGCTCTCTGTTTTCCTACTTCCTACTGTCCCAGGAGGAAGGCTTCACAGTACCTGACAAGTGTTTCGATGTCTCTGTCATTTCCTGGCCACAAAACCAGATCCAGACACTGCTGTTTGACTTTGACTATTCCCAAGTGGCCCTCGTGTGCCATCTGCAACACTCGCACCTAAAGGCAGGCAGGAATAACAGCACAGGTGCCCCAAATGACACATGACTCATTCCAGCAGGAGAGCTCATCTTTAACATGATGGAAGGGGCTCAGGTCAGTGGAGACCTTGGAGGGCCACTCCGAGTATATGGAAGTGTGGAGCTGGGAAAGAACTGGGTCCTGTCCTGAGGTCTGCTGAAGTTCCTGAAGAGAGGCTGTGGCTTAGGGTGGCCAGTGCCTGTTGTAGAGAGCAGTGTTGTAAGTGCCTGGTGGTCTGTCTGCATGTATGGCCAGGTACATGTCCCACCTTTCATGTGCCCAAACGCAGGCTAAGACCTCTCTCTCACCCACGAGCACTTCTGTCTTGTCGTGCAGAGAACCCGGGAGGGAGTGAGCCATCAAGACCCACTTTGTGCCAGACCCCGGTATCCCCATATTACCACGACAGTGTCACATGAACCAACACTGCATGTCGACATAACAGGTAAGTAATCCTGTGTTAAAATTGCTCATTAATATAACTGCGATCAGTGGTGAGAGAACCATTTTCTTTATGTTTCAAATTGTCCCACACCTGGGCTGCTATCTGCCTGGCTTTTACTCATGTTCTCTCTGTGTTCACATGAGTTTCCTACCGCAATACAAAGGCATGCTTTAGTGTCACACATGGTGAACCTTCAATGCAGAAACCTTGATTGCTTTTATAGCCAACTACGCCTTCTAACAATTTTAAAGGATGTTAGGACCCTTTTCTCTTGCAAAAGGATAGATATATATCTCCCAGAACCAAGACTGCACCAACAAACCACACAAGACAGTCATACTTCATAAATCCCTTTTTATTACGTACCAATTACAATATATATTACTGCCTACCCAACACAGTATACACCATGTACGGATCATTGTAAGCTGCTTCAAACATCTGGTTGAAAGATTGTCCTTAATGACACTCTGGTCATGCTGATGACGTTGGGCCATTGACTCCTGCTGCCTCACACCCATTCTTTCATTCCGTGACTTTAAATTTTAAAAATGGATTTTGTTTCCTAAAAATGCTAAAATATTGTATATATTAAAATACGACTTCTTGTGAAGATCAATCTTCCAACACTGGCTTCACACAAACCAGTTTCCTCATTGCCTGTGAGAATAATTTAAAGACGTTTTTACGTTTCTTCTTGGACTTTTTAGTTTCCACTGCAGGAGATGGAGAATCTGAAAAGAGAGAGCAGAACATTTCTTCCATATTAACATTTTGCTCAATAGAAAGCTTGAGTGTTTATGCTGAAAATAAAAAAATCATTTATGCACTTTAAAAACATCAGTTCACTCATTCAGTTGTTATAGTGTTGTTAAGTTCCACAATAACAACATCGATTTTTAAACAAAAAGAGAACATTCCGTGGAATGATGAGCAATCTCCATTTATCTGTAAATGACCGGGTGGAACATGCTATCATTTCTGGGGGACTCACCTGCTTGGTGGCCCTCAGCCTCACTATATTGTGTTCCTTTATCAAGGCTCAGAGATTTCTGGCTGGCCTGTGTATAGACAAAGAACATGAGGTTAGATTATTCCAACACAAGCAATACCAGGAAAAGCTCTTTGTATTAAGTTCCTACCCAAAAGTCCTCAATACTA